TGTAGGCTATGAAGCTGATATTTTCTATCAGTTTGGGAAGGTGCCAACTTGTCATGAAAGACACAAAGAGTATCAGACCTACTGTGCAATCTTGTGGAAAAGACCATTGAATAATCAAGCACAGTTTGGAAAATGTTCATGTTTTTACTGAGGGAGCAAGCTTGTTTTTACATCGATTTTGTGTGAAGAACAACGTTGTTACATATTGGGCACATGAGGAGACAGTGTCATACATGTTCTTTTTGTGGTGGATTTTTAACCATCACATGCTTTAAGAAAAGGCAATAAGCCGCTACTGTTTGTAACATTTTGTATTTATCCTGGTCAGGAAATTTTGAAAATTGATATCTGTGGCAACCACAATACATTACCTTATGGTCTTTTGCTTTAAGATGCCTGATGAAAGAAATTATCACATATTCTACCGTATGCTTGCTGGAATGTCACCCAAAGACAGAGAGTTGCTTCACTTGACGGATGCCTCAGATTACTATTATCTGACACAAGGCAACTGTATCTCATGTGAAGGAATGAATGATTCAGAAGAATTTGCAATTATAAGAGGGGCAATGAAGGTACATATTAGCTGTCTAACACAGTCTAGCAAACTAATATTTAACATTAATTTCAGGTTTAAGTCTAACTTAATTAACCAAATAGAAATTTGCATGCAGCTACATGTAGCTGCTAGACTACAAGTAATCCCTCTTTCACTTAGTCTGTCAAACAAGACCACAAATAAACCACTAGAAAACGAATGGCGGCGTGAAATCCTGGGGGAATGGCCACTTTTTTCTTGCGGTTTTCTTTCGCATCACGCACAACGGACTAAGCGAAAGAGGGACTGCTGGTAGTCTGGGTCTGTTTTCAGTTATGTATGTACATTTACCTACTAGATTTGGTCATAGTGTCTTTTCAGTTCACATCATAATTTTTTACGGAATATTTTTTGATGCAAAGGCTTAAGTTGTTAGCAAACAGATTATAAGGTTATTGTGTGTATATACATTGATGTTGTTCAGGAGGTTGTAATGTTTTTCCTGTTTCCCTTGTTGCAGTATACACTTAACATGTGTACTTTACATTGTATGTCTTGAGAAGGTGGAAGAAAGCTTTCATGAAGTTACATTATATTTGCATGCATGATATATTTACATGTACAGTATAGA